CTTGCTCTGCTCATCGCATTAATTGTAGTCGCAACAAAAGATAAAACTGAACCACTGGAAAATGGATCGTCGTCTGCGGGCGTCGAAGAGTTCTGCCCGGAGACAACAAAGTTGACATCTTCACCAGCACGCTCGTCAGGTCTATACGACGACTTATCCAAGGATGAAATCATCGCTGTGCGAGATTACATTCTCAGTCAATCGTCTCTGAATGTCACACGCTATGAAGATGCGGCCATCAACGACAACTACATATATTTGATCGAGTTGCAGCAACCGCCCAAAGATGAAGCGCTCAATTTTCTCGACAATAACAACGCCCCGAAGCCTGAACGCAAGGCACGAGTTGTCATTTACTATGGTGGACAAAGCAACCCGGAGGTGAGAGAATTCCTGGTGAGTCCAGCAGCGAAACCGACAAATCATCGTGAAACAACCGGCCCGGGTCAGAAATATCCGATCCCATTCAACACGCGATTTGCAGACCAGAAGGAGCTTGCCATAATGGATAGCATGTTAAAGAACGTCACGAAATATGTTTACCGGCTACTCCACGAGAGCTATGATGGCTACACGTTCTGGAACTGCACTGACCGATGCTTGACGTGGGGCCTCTCAGCTCCCAGTACTTTCAAGGCTAATCAGCGCAAACAGTGGATATGGTTCATGAGAAATGTTATTGGTTTTTACATCCATCCCGTCGGCTTTGAAGTCCTCTTAGATACCGGTGGAAATGACATGTCAAGCTGGACAGTTGAAAAACTTTATTACAACAACGCAACCTATGAAACCGTCGAAGAGTTAATGAATGCATACGACGCTGGATCCAAAATGGTTTTCGAGGCACCTGAGGACAAAGGGCTGTTTTCTACTTATAAACGCCGCGGGGATCCACAACCCAAAAAGCCATTGAGAAACCCACAGATCTTCGAGCCTGATGGCAAACGGTACACGGTCAGCGGACGTCACGTGGAGTACATGGGCTGGAGTTTTGACTTCCGTTCCCGCACCTCATCTGGTATACAGCTCTTTAACATCAAATTCAAGGGCGACAGAATTGTTTACGAGCTGAGTATTCAGGAAGCCGAGGCGTTCTATTCTGGTTGGAGCCCCAAGCCCCTGCACACCAATTACCTTGACGCCGCTTGGAACATGGGTTCCATGACTTTTGAACTGTTGCGGGGTGTGGACTGCCCTAACACTGCCACTTTCTTTGACCTAATCCATTTCGTTGGCCGGAAGGATCCAGCAAAATACAAAAATGCAGTTTGTTTGTTTGAACAAGACATGGGAGTGCCACTGCGCAGACATTATGACACGAACTTTGATGGTGGTTATAATTTCTATGGAGGAATGCCTGGAAGCGCTCTGATTCTGCGCACTGTAGCAACAACCTACAACTACGATTATGTGTTCGACTACATCTTCTATCCTAATGGTGTCTTGGAGGTTCGTTCATCCGCCAGCGGTTTTCCTCAAACAACCTTTTACACGGTAGATGAAGAGCCATACGCTAGTCAAATTCATCCGAAAATGGCTGGTAGCATGCATGATCATATTTTCAACTACAAAGTCGACATTGATGTGTTTGGAACCAAACAGTCTTACGAGACTATTGAAGTTGGACTACAGAACATTACCAACCCTTGGTTCCCTGAGGATTATCACCTGCAGAAGGTTCTTCATCGTCGTTTGAAAAAAAACGAAACAGAAGCTGTGTATCACTACGAGTTTGACAAGCCCACCTGCATGAACTTCTTCAATAAGAACGAGCTGAACAGCTATGGCGTCCATCGTGGAATCCGCGTTCAAATTCGGGACATGATGAAACAGATGTACCCAGAAAGCTGGCCAGTGGTGAGAGGGGCGACATGGTCCCTAAATCAACTGACCGTAACCAAGCGAAAGGAAGCAGAAGAAAAGAGCTCCTGCATCTACAATCAGCAAGACATGGTTGACCCTGTGGTGGACTTCAGCAAGTATGTTGATGGCGAGAACATCGAGGATGAAGATCTGGTTGCTTGGGTAACAATGGGAATGATTCACATTCCACACTCAGAAGACATCCCTAACACCGCCACTCCAGGCAGCTCTGCCAGTTTTCTTCTCAGGCCCTTCAACTACTTTGATGAAGACCCTTCCATGGCCTCTTATGATGGGGTTTTAATCATGCCTTCTGATGACGGGGCAAAGATCGACACTTTTGGAACTCCAACGAAGCCGCCATGTGCTCCAAAGGAAAAGCCCATGGAATTCTACGGTCTGTATGGAGACTACTAGATAACAACATAAGGAACGGGCTGAGCGAACTGAGGGTACATATTCAAGCGCTGATAATTTGCAGAACCGTCGTAGAATGCTTTATTTTATTAAACTTTGTATAATCATAGTTCGTTCGGTTTTATTGAAGTCCTCATATGACTAATTTAATGTAGTAGGAACTTTAAGTAGCACTGTATCCGAGATAGAATTAGTGGGAAGGTCGACTGGGACTCGGAGCAGTTGACTAGCCCTTCATCACTGACTCGATTAGGTGAAAATTACGCTCATCGTGTTACCATATTTTAGAAATCCCTTATTTCTTTTTGTTTGAAAATTAGTTAGATGAAATATAAACATGTTCTGTTGTTTTCAATGAAGGATAACTGCTGACAAGATATTGCACATTTAGAACATTTAGTTTAGCAATTCAAGCGGTAATATGTGGTTGGAAGTTGTTTTCTGTAATTAGTAGCCGTAACTGCATCCAGACGTCTCTTTTTGAAACAGACGACTCCCACAAGCAGCTATGAAATCAGCTTCCTAAAATTTGTTTTCCTCTAGCAATCCAGCATTTGTAATTGCTATCATTGCTATCTGTGCTTTTGTAATAAACATGTGATGCTTGCACGTTATTTAGAGCATCCAGTTTCAAATTTAAACACATTGATTTTCAATAAATTAAATTCGAGAAGATTGGATTGCTTTTTTTTCGTTCGAGTGGCAGGTTGTTCGCATCAAAAACCATGGTAACACGCTTTCGCGGGTTAAATCATGATCAGGCGACTAGAGACGAGCCAGGCTCTCTCTCCCGCGCCTAACCCAGTCCGGAATCAGAACTCCGACAGTACCAAAGGGTATAGTTTTTCAGCTGTTTTTGTCATAAATAGGGTATCGATTTTAGCTGAATTTGGCCATTTTGGTCATAAATAGGGTATGGTTTTTGCACTCTAGCCTTGATAAGGGTATGTTTTTAAAAAGAAGCCACTTTTTCGTCATTATCGAAAAGTAAATCAACAAAAGCCCTTCACAAATTATGTTTACGGTAATTTAACATTGGTCTGAACTAGGGAACTTATTGTAACGCAGGTCTGAAACAGGGTTTTGATTTAAGGTCATTCCGTTGAAATAGAACCTGCACTGAGGTTTTTGTGAAACTTTGCCTATCGATTGTTTAAATATTATAGGAACTTAAATTTTGAAATAAAAATGAGGGGTCCCCATGTTCATTTAGGAGCAAAAGCACCTTGTTTATATCCATATAAATCCTTATAATA